TTAAAAACTCTTCTAATTAAAAGAAATATTTTCATAAAAATAGTCAAACGGTTCAAAAACTTTTTTCGGTGTCAAAAGTTCCTTTAATTTTTCAAAAATTATGCTAAATGAGCCCTTAATGTAATGTATAAGTCATCTCTATTTGTGTTGATGAACATATATTTCATTGAAATTATATTTTAACAGATGAGAATCGATTAATAATTTACACATTAATTTAATTCATCACTTAATAACATATTTTCAAGTGTCAATGCTAGAAGTTAATATTTTATAATATAAAATAGTCCCACAATTTCTTGCTTGATAATCATCGTCTTACCAATAAATAATTTAATTATTAAAACAGCTCTAATAGGAGGAAAAAGATGACAGATAAAACAGCTAGTGATATTTCAACCTTGAAAGGAGGATGTGTAATTTTAAAAATGAAAAATAATTCCTTTTTAGTAAAAAAAATTAAAAAGGCTTTGCAATGGACGTTGGAACCTACAATCACATATAGAAGCCTTGGAATTGAGGGCTCAAGAAGCAAAGAAAAGAAATCTCAGTCTGAATTCTGTGCTGCTAAAATTTGTTGACCATTACGTCAGTTTGAGGTTGGCAGTTTGTGAAGAATGGCATAATGATGTTGGGCTGGACTCTTTGAATCTGATGGGCTTGTGGGCCGAATCCTTAAATGTTGAATTGATACTGATTTGCTTCTTGGCCAAAAATGTGTCGCTGATTCTCTTTTATAAGAACAAATGTGTCTGATCTTGCTAAGTGTCACCTTCTGCACCGTTGGATGGAGACCTTCTAGTGCCTTCGATATTTAATCCAGATTAGGGTTTGAGATGCGAGACTTTTCATTATATCTTGTCTCTTGAACTCTCTATCTGGGTTCTTCGTTTTCTCTCTATTGCAATTTGAAATAAGCCCTTGTTGATGAGATTATTTCCAACCATTTTTTATAGATCTTGAGTGATTTGTATAGGCCTTTTATCTGTCATTCTTGAGTGAATGTTGTTTTGTATTGTGAGGTTTATTTGGTAGAAATCTTGTGAGATTTCATCTAAGTGCCATGGAGTCTTGTACTGGACAGTTTGTTTGATTCCATTGATACAGTGATATCCTTCTGGTGACGGAAACTCAAAAGAGAATTAGGAACTCCGATTCTGAACCTCTTGCTTTGGGGTGAAAATCGTCGTGTTCCTTTATTTTCTTTCGATTTTCTACTTTAATTTTTCATAATTTTTTGTTGAGCTTTAAAGTGGATAAAATTTGAACTACTCGTAACAGTGATATTAGAGCGTTTAAACGGTGGTTCTTGGCTCCAGTTTGGAAGATCTGAAAGTTTTTGCACCTGTTCGGTAGATCTCTGTTTTTTTCTTGACCCTAATAAAGGGATTTGGTGAGTTCGTTCCAATTTTTGGAGTTACAGTTCACAATACTGGCTTGTTTTCTAAGATACTTGCAACCGTGGTCAAATCTTTAAATTGAAGACATCTCTTAGCAATTCCTTTGTTCAGGAACCTTTGAGTTGTCTGGAATCTAAGGGTTGCCTTTATTTCAAGTCAACTATTTAGACCTTTTACTTCATGTTCTTGCATGTGTTCTGTAATACTATATATAGCATGTTGTGACTTGTACACTTGTTACTTGATATTCTGGTTTTTGAGTAAACTGTTTAATTCTTGGTAAATGAACTACTGAGATCATACTGAATAATCTATACCATACAACCTATTTGTTGTTTGTACACTTTAAATTGGTTTACTGTGTATGATATCTAAGTTCTTGCAAGTTGTATCTACTGTTGAAGGCTTGTGTGATCTGTCTGCATTGTTGACATTCAAATTGTGTTTTGATCGTCACTACTAAAGTTGAACTGGACATCTTTAATGGTAAAGGAGACTTTAGTCTCTAGCGTCAAAAAATGAGAGCCCTTTTACTTCAACAAAAATGTGCTAAGGCTATTGATGAGTCATGGCCAAATGATTTGGAAGAAACTAAACTGAACTTGATGAAACTGCATGGAGCTCTATATTTTTTCATTTGTCTGATAATGTGTTAAGAGAGATTGGTGAGACAAAAACTACTGCTGAATTGTGGAAGAAATTGGAAGATACCTATTTGAATAAATTCATGTCTAATAAAGTGAATCTTCTAAAACAACTTTTTGGTTTTAAATTGAACCCTTCTTTTGATCTTGAGGCGAATATTGATAGTTTTAATAGATTATCTCGTGACCTAGCCGACTGTGATGAGAAACTCTCAAAAAATCAACTGGCTATGGTCTTCTTAAATTCAATCACTGATAAATATAATGATGTTAAAAATGCAATTGAATATGTGAGGGAGACTCTAACTACAAATGTGATAATAAATGCTTTAAAAATCAAAGAGTTAGAGGAAAAATATGAGAAGAAAGGATCTGTCAGTAGTGAAAATTTGATGGCTAAGTCCAAATCAAATCCAAATCCAAAGAATGTCAACTTTAATAAAAAACAAAGACACAAGAAGAAGGTGACTTTAACGATAAAATGAAAAACAAGGCAAAGGGTAAAAAATATTTTTATTGTCTAGGTGGAGATCATTTTATCAAAGATCGCCACAAGAGACTTAATGATTTGAAGAATAAGTCAAAAGATGATGGTGGTGCTGCCTTGGCCTACAATAATGAGTCCAACACAGATGAACTATATGTTGTTGTTCACAGTCCACCTAGTCAAAAGTGGATTCTTGACTGTAGTTGCACCTTTCACATGTGTCCTAAAAGAGAATGTTTTTTGAGTTTAAAAATGTTCATGGAGGCCAAGTTTTTATGGGTAATCACATGTCCGATCAAGTAAAAGGCATAAGAACTATCACCTTAAGGGTTAAAGGTAATGATGAATTGATTCTACAAAAGGCCAGGTATGTCCTTGACTTACAAAGAAATCAAATTTCCTAGATGACTTGAAATATAATATTGTGATTAACAAGGGATACATTAAAATCTTGAGGGGCTCTCAACTTGTTACTGAAGCCCCCAAGAGATATGGGCTTTATATTTTACATACTCAAAACTATTTTGATTCCACATTAGCAGCAATCTCTGTCCTTAGGAGTGGGCATTTTAACCGGAATCGAATCTTCCGAACCGTTTCGATTTCGGTTCTTAAAAAAAAGGAATTGAAATCGAAAATCGAAAATTGATTGGGTCTGGGTTGGTTTTTGGTTCTTGAATTGGAACCATGGGTAACCGGATGGAACCAACTTCGTTGTAATTTTTTTTAATAGTTAAATAGATTGCATAAAAAAATTACGAAATTTGATATTTATAGACTATAACTTAAAAACTAAATGGGCTCCTCAATTCAACCTAGAGAAAATATTAAGTCCAAATCTTTTGGCTCATCTTAGTTACAACATCCAAATATATAAATCTTGCCCAAAAGGAATTTGCCCACTGCCAAACCTATAAAGAATTACAATCCTCTGCCTGCTGCCTCCTTTCCCAATTCCTTTTTGGTGTTCTCTTCCGTCAAACAATGGCTTCGTCACCAGCACCAACACCACAGATAACCAACTTGTAATGAAAATAAAATCTGAATATGAAAATAAACGTATAATGAAAAATAATATGCTAACTTGTCAGCGTCTATGTTGAACAGTTTTTGCCACTCTTTTTAATTACTTTAAAGAGGAGTTGGCGACTTATTCTATTTGTGTTTAATGGTTCTTTGTACTCCACGTCTTCATTGCATCCATTTATCAAGAAATCTGAACAGTTTTTCTTGCAGCCATGATCTTATAGTTCACCTTTTTTTTTTATTTGCAATGTGATGAATTGGGATCAAAATGTTGGAGCTTAATGGATTAATAAATAATCCCAATTATTGATTAAACTTGAAAGCTATTAATAACTAATCTCAGTACTTAATGGATTATTAATCGGTGATTTAATAATTACCTTTTCTTCTAGTATTGACATATTATTTGATTTTTTATAACCATGTAGTTGAAATTCAAAGGACGCTGGGCTCAGCTTTGTTTTCTAGATTCATTTGTCGTCAAATATCAATTTCATCAATCAAAATTCTCAAGCTGTTGATTGATTTATGGATTCGTTCAAGTCTAAGTTTATCTTCAAGTCTCTATCATGCAACAACTAGTAATATTACTTGTGGTGTGCCTTTACTATTGTTTTCTATTCAATATCAAACGTCGTGGTGTGCCTTTATTATTTTTTCCCTCTTCAAATTAAATTTGTTACGGGTTATGGTAAAACAATTTAATTTTTGTAGATGTATGATGAGACACTTGGAATTAAAAAGAGAACAAAGACAAGATCAGCAATTTTGTTGAGATTTACTAAGGTAGGTAATGGAGAAACATCAAAATGCAATTATTGTGGAAAAGTCCTTCAAAGTAATTCAAAAGGTGGTACTTATAGTATGTGGAAGCATTTGGATAGTTGTCATGCATATAAGGCTAATTAGTTTGGTGACCAACAAAAGACCTTAACTCGATAGAGTAATGATGGTGGTAATGGTGATGGTAACATGTTTAATCTTACAACATCGGTGTATAATAGAGAAGAATGTAGAAGATATCTAGTTAGGATAATTATAATTGATGATTTGCCCCTTTCCTTTGTAGAGGGTATGGGTTTTAAAGAGTTTGTGCAAAAACTCAATCCCAAGTTTGATATCTCTTCTCGAAGAACAATTGCTAGGGATGTGCTCTATCTTTATAGCGAGACAAAGGAATCATTGAAGAATAAACTTATTCAGAATAGGCAAAGGGTTGTTCTTACCACTGATTATTGGACATCAATTCAAAATATTAATTACATAGAAATCATAGCACAATTTATTGATTGAACTTCAAAATTACATAAGAGGATTTTGAGCTTTTCCGTTGTTCCAAATCATAAAGGGGCGACAATAGGAAAACTTGTTGAAAATAGTTTGCTTGATTGGGGGACAGAGCAAGTGTGGTCTATTACCGTTGACAATGCAAATGCAAATGATATGGCAATCATTTATGTGAAAAACAAGTTGAAGAATTGGAAAGCTGATTGCATGATTTTGCGTGGTGCTTATTTGCATGTAAGGTGTTCGGTGCATATTATTAATTTGATTGTTAATGATGGGTTGAAGGAGTTTAACCACTCCATAGCAAGTATTCGAAATGCTATAAAAAATTTTCGATCATCTCCTTCTAGGCATATGAAGTTTAAAGCTTGTATTGAAAGAGAGAAGATTGGTTGCAAAAAGCTTGCCATTCTAGATGTACCCACTATATGGAATTCAACCTTTTTAATGTTGGGCAGTGCATTGAATTTTCAGAAAGCATTTGAACGGATGGAGGAAGAGGATGGATTTTATTATAAATATTTTGACGAGCGTGAAAATGGACACGAAAGAGAAGGACCACCTACTAGTGATGATTGGGATGAGGCAAGAAAATTTGCCAAATTTTTAAGAATTTTTTATGAAGTCACTTTGAAGTTTAGTTCATTACTACATGTTACTTCTAGTCAGCTACTCTTTACTTCAAAGAAGTTTGCAACATTGAACATGCACTAACAACATTGAGTAATAAAAATGATCATTTGCTAAGAAGTATAACGTGCAATATGAAGGTCAAGTTTGACAAGTATTGGGGCACAATTGAGAAAATAAACAAGCTTTTACTTTTAGCAATTGTACTTGATCCGAGATACAAATTTGAGTATGTTGCATATTGTGCGAGTATCTTATATAATGAAAACAAGGTGGATGTGTTAAAGAGTGAAGTTATGAAAATGTTGTATGCTTTATACAATGAATACAAGGGACGACATGGTATTGATGATGGAATTGGTGGTCATAATTCTAATAATGGACTAACTTCTGTTGATGGTTCAGATGATGATGAAGATGGAGATAGAGATGATATGAGTCCATTTAATAAAGTTGACATAGGGTACAAAAAATTGAAAACTAGCAATGTGGATTTACCTGGAAAAGACGAGATTCAAAAATATTTAGGAGAAAGTATTGAAGACCCTACAAATGAAAATTTTGACATTTTATATTGGTGGAAGATTAATAGTGAAAGTTTTAGTACTTTATCTGAGATAGCAAGGGATGTGCTTGTCATTCCTGTCTCTACGGTTGCTTCTGAGTCAGCATTTAGCCCGAGTGGACAAATTCTTGATTCATTTAGGAGTTCTTTAACTCCTAAAACAGTTGAGGCATTAATTTGCACACAAAATTGGTTACGTGGAGAATCTGGACTTTTGAAAGTACCCTAAATGAAATATGCATTGAAGAGACGGAGTTTTACAAGAAAATTGAGACGGGTAAGTAAACATTGTTTTTCCATATTCTTATATTGCATTTTGTTAATCTAATAAATTTTAATTTTGTTAAGCTTGTAATGATTATCATATTTTAATTATGTCTCGTAGATTTGTTAATGCCACAACTCATGCAATGGATGTCTAAATGGTTGGTGCGACGCAACTCACGTAGATTAATGTAGGCGACTCAAAATCTATTGAGAATATTTATCATCTGGACTTTATTGTTAACATTTTACGGTTTATGGCTCTTTTGATGACATTTTTTCGTTGTTTAACTTCTCATGTTGGTTTTAAAATTTTTTGAACTTCTAATTATTATCATAATAAGATGGCCTTATTAATGGTCTTTTAAGTTTTAAGGCTCTGTTTAATGCTGGCCTATACTCCTACTAAAGTTCTTTTAAGTTTTAACTAATTTATAATGCTCTTTTAAGGCTAGTCTTTTTAATTTTTTGTGTAACTTTTAATCTGTTAAGGCTTTGTTTACGGTTTGGACGATTAGTCCATCAATGTCGTTACTAAAGCTATGACATGATGGATAGTTTGTGATAATCCGTCTAATTACATGGTTGGATTTACTAAATATGTATTCAAAAAAATGTTATGGGTAGAACTGAATCTAAATCGAAACCGATGGTTCGAGTTCGGGTTCGGGTTCGGGTTCGGGTTTGGGTCAAATAATTAGATGGAAAAGAATGGATCCATTTATAAAATACCCGAAATATAATAGGTGGTTCTAGCTATTGAAATACCCGGACCGACCCACCGGACAACCACCCCTATCTGTCCCCAATGATAACTCACAAATATTGCATAAAAGATTAGGCCACATTAGTGACAAAGGCTTACAGATTTTGAAAAAACAAGGTGCCTTCGAAAATAATGCAATTAAGAAACTCAGTTTTTGTGATCACTGTATACTAGGAAAGCATTATAGATTACTATTTCTGCTTGGGATGTATAAATTTGTATCTATACTTGAATATTGCATGCTGGTCTTTAAGGACCAGCTTCAGTGCCCACACATACTAGTTTCAGATTTTTCCTTTTAATCATAGATGATTTTTTTTATTGGAAAAGCTAGATCTTTCTCCTTAAATCTAAGTCTGACACTTTAAATATTTTCAAAGATTGGAAATCGTTGATTGAAAATCAAACTGATAAAAAGATTAAAATGTTAAGGACTGATATGAGCTTGAATTTTGCAATTATGAATTTGATGGATTATGTAAATTGCATGGTATTTTAAGACATGGAACTGTGACACACCCCCCAAACAAAATGGCTTGGCTAAAAGAATGATCAAAACTATTCTTGAAAAGGTTAGATGCATGTTATTTAGTTCTGGTCTTCCCAAGTTATTTTGGGAAGAAGCTGCAAAAACTGTTAGTTACCAAATAAATAGAACCCCCACTAGCGATATTTAGGGGGTGTATTCAATTAAAACTTTTGAAAACTTTGATGGACTTTTTTAAGTGGTGATTTTTATGGATTTCATGGATTTTTATAGATTTCTATGGAATTAGAAGTCTTTCCATAGATTTTCATTTTAAAATTTTTATAGACTTTGGTGGAATTTAAAAGACTTTGGGAGATTTTCATTTGAAATAGAATTTACATAGATTTGATGTGAAATTCTTATATACGAAGTATTAGTTCCCACAATTTCCCTTTTCCTTTCCCTTCTTCTTCTTATATAATAAAAAAATAAAAATTAAAGAAATAAAAATTAAAGACTTTATTTAAATAAATAATAATCAAAATTATAGATATATATTTGATTTAATATTATAAGTGTAGTATACTTTTAAAAATAAAAAAAATCAATATATTTAAATTTAATTAAAAAAATTTCATATAAAATTTTATAATTTAATAAAAAAAATATGTCTTTCACAGAAAAAAATGAATGGAAAAGAAAAAGAAAGTTACAAGAATTCAATTTAATTTTTCATAGAAAATAGAGATAAAAAATAAGATTGAGAAAGAAAGATAAATGGAATATAATCAATAGAAAAAATTTAATCATACATGTCCATAGAAGATTAAAGGAAAGAAGGATTGAATTTTTTTTTTTAAAGTCTCCTAAAATCTCGTGATTAATGAGAGGCAAATTTTAAAATTTTATATGAGTACTTTTTGCTTAAAAGTTAGTACTCCAAAAACTTTATAAAAGTCTTTAGAAGTCATTAAAATTTGAATACCCCAAGATTTATAGAGACTTCTAAAATTTTTTAATTGAATACACCGTAACTTTTATAGACTTTTTAAAAGTCTATAAAAATCTCAATTGAATATACTATGATTTTTAGAGAGTCTCAAAAATTCTTAAGTGAATATCCCTAAACTTTTTAAATCCCAAAAAGTCATTAAAAGTCTCAATTGAATACACTCCCTTTAGTATAAAACCTCTGAAGAAGTTTGGATAAGAAAACCTGTACATTTAAGTAATCTGAAAATATTTGGATGTGCAGCCTATGCACATCAATCTGAAAGGAATTTTGAACCTAGGGCCCTTAAGTGTGTTTTCTGGGGCTATGGTAAAAGGGTATAGACTTTGGGTAAGGGAAACTAAAGGTTATAAGATTATTATAAGTAGAAATGTAGTGTTTAATGATGATGATCTGACTTGTTTAAAATTTGGTAAGAATACTGAAGAAATGAGTCGGACTGAACATGTAGTAAGGGAAACTGAAATTGAGGTGGAGCAAGTTAATACTGATAATCTGCATGCTGATCAGATTGTTAATAGTGATGTTCAGGCCCAAAATAATGATGAAAATCACCAATCTGAATTTGATTTAGAAGTAACTCAATCTTTAAATAATTATCAACTTGCTAGAAATAGAGAAATGAGATAAATAAGACCACCTGTGAGATTTGATGATGAAATATCTCTTCTGACTTTTCAGGGGTTCATTGAGAATGAACCTGCGTCCTTTAAAGATGCTATGAGTAGCAAGGACTCTAAGCATTGACTAGCTGCAAGGCATGAAGAAATGGAATCATCAAGGAAGAATTAAACCTAGACCTTGGTTAAAAGACCTAAGGAAAAGAGGGTTATAGACTGTAAGTGGATTTTTATATTTAAAAGAGGTAAAAAGAATGAGAGTAACATTAGATACAAAGCAAGACTTGTGGCTAAGGGTTTTGCTCAAAAAGAGGTAATAGATTTCAATGAAATCTTTTCTCCAATTGTAAAACTTACAATTGTTAGAGTAATTCTTTCCTTAGCAGCTCAACTTAATTGGAAATTGGATCAATTGGATGTAAAAACTACATTTTTAAATAGGGATCTTGAAGAAACTATTTTATAGGACAACCTAAAGGTTTTGAAGTGAATAAAAATGCAGACTTAGTATGTCTTCTTAAAAAGTCACTTCATGGCTTAAAACAAGCTCCAAGACAATGATACAAAAGATTTGATACCATTGTGCTTGGACTTGATTTTAAAAGAAGTAATTTCGATACATGTCTTTATTGTAAAGGAATGGAAGTGAAAATTCACTATATCTTCTTCTTTATGTGGGTTACATGCTCTTAGCAAGTCATGACATAAATGAAATAGAGTTAATTAAAATCAAATTTGAATTGAAGGACTTAGGTCTTGTTAGAAAAATCTCAGGTATTGAAATTAAAAGAAATAGGAGAGATGACACACTAAGTCATAATAAAAAAAACTTATGTTTTAAAGTTACTTGAAAAATTTTCTATGTCTGATGCTAAAAGTATGAGTTCGCCTTTAGTAAATCACTTCAAACTCTCAAGTGATCAATGTCCCAAAACTGAAGGTGAGTTTAAAAGAATGACTAGAGTGCCTTATTCAAATGCAATAGGGTCTGTTATGTATCTAATAATCTGTACAAGGCCTGATTTGACATTTTCTATAAGTGTATTGAGAATATACATTAAATGAACTTAAGATCTAGGTATTGAGTATAGAAAACAATCTGAGGGTGTTATCTTGAGGGGTTACACATATTCTAACTATGCAGATGATAGGGACAACAAAAAATCAACGTCTGCCTACATATATACTTTGTGTAATTACTGTATAAGTTGAGAATCCCGATTATAAGAGATTGTCGCATTATCTTCAATTGAAGCAGAATATATAGCTACAACTGATGCTAGTAAAGAGGGAATTTGGCTAAAAGGATTATTGAATGAGTTTGGCTTTATAAATGATGTTGTTTTACACTTTGGTAACCAATCTGCCATATATTTAAGTAGGAATATTGTTTTACATAATAAATCTAAGTATGTTGATGTGAAATTTCATTTTATTAGAGATGTAATTTCTCAAGGTGTTGTAAAACTGAAAAAGATTTCTACTAATTTTAATCCTGTTGATGTTGGTACTAAAGTGCTGCCTTTAAACAACTTTCTGGACTGTTTAAGTAAGCTAAATATTAACTCTTGCTTATTTGTGTATCAGGAATAAGTGCAAATGATGTTATGTTTGGAAGAATCACTATAAATTATGTTGGAATCATTGTACCAAGATGGAGAATGTGAAGAATGGCACAATGTTGTTAGGTCGGACTCTTCGAATATGATGGACTTGTGGGCCGAATCCTTAAATGTTGAATTGATACTGATACGCTTCTTGGCCAAAAACGTGTTGATGAAACATGACTTCTCTTTTATGAGAACAAATGCACCTGGTCTTGCTAAGTGTCACCTCTTACACCGTTGGATCAAGACCTTCAAGTGCCTTCAATATTTAATCCAAATTAGGGCTTGAGATGCCAGACTTTTCATTCCCTCTTGTCTCTTGAACTCTCTTTGGGTTCTTCGTTGTTCTCTACTGCATTCTAAAATAAGCCATTGTTGATGAGATTATTTCCAACCCTTTTGTATAGATCTTGAGTGATTTGTATAGACCAATTATCTGTCATTCTCGAGTGAATGTTGTTTTGTATTGTGAGGCTTATTTTGGGAAAAACCTTGTGAGATTTCGTCTGAGTGCCATGGAGCTTTGTACTGGACAATTCGTTTGATGTCATTGATATAGTGATATCCTTCTAGTGACGAAAGCTCAAAAAGGGATTAGAAACTCCAGTTCTGAACCTTTTGCTTTAGGGTGAAAATCATCGCGTTCCTTTATTTTCTTTTGATTTTTTGCTTTAATTTTTCATATTTTTTTGTTGAGTTTTATAGTGGCTAAAATTTGAACTACTCGTAATACGATTGTTGGGAAAAATAAGTTATTTGTGTTTAGATTGATTATCAATTAACATAATAAAATAATAAATATAATTAAATAGTAATATAAACATAAGAAGAGAAGAGTTAGAAATGCAAGTATTAGGGTGTTACGTTAAGGACGCTGTCCTAAAGTCATGTTGTCTCTCCTACGTGTGGGTTCTTTTGCACTACACGACTCCAAGATAAAATTTATATAGCTCACAGTAGGGGTGAACGTGGTTCGATTTGAGCGATTTGTGCTATATTTTCAACTTAAACCATTTTATGCAGTTTGAAATTTTTTCAAACCAAACCATTTTATTTTTCGAACCAAACCAAACCATAATTTGCGGTTTGGTTCGTTTTAATCCGCAGTTTACTTTTCGATATTATAGTAAAGTATTTAATATAAGTTTAAAAGAGAACTAATAATGTTAAATGTTAAATTACATTCATATTTATCATGAGACCCATGAATAAATTATTTTCAAAGTTGATTGCTAAAAGATGTTAATAGAACAAATACATCTTTCTTCACTTTTATTTACATTGTCTTGTATGACATTCATATTGTCATATAACGGTTGGTAATTGTAGTCACATTATGTTATTATAGTTTGGTTAGAATTCATTTCCTCTTGCTAGTGAGATGTTAAATAAGGATTGAACGGGATATATTTAGATGTACAAAGATCGATAGAATTTCGATTTATTGGGAATTGACGGATTTCATCCTCTAAATACTTTATGAAAGTAAAAGGTAATAGTCTTAGTTAGGAAACTTTAACATTTTCACACAATCAATATGCTCCGTCCTTCGTTTTTTTCAAATAACAAACAAATTCATTAATCATCTAGACACACAAATAATCATTTTTCTATCCAAACCACAACTCACAAGTATATAATAAGTTCGAAAAAACAAATAAAAGAAAGAACGATAGAAAAATGGTTTGAATAAGAATCTAAGACTTACTGAAAGAGAAGAGAGAAAAGTACAGATTAGTAGACTAACAGGCAAAGGCGACTAGCAGTTCATTCAGCAGTGACAAACAAGCGTCAAATGATAGGGAAATGAAAAATTATATTAGGACTTCTGAAACGTTGGACGTGATTTGCTAACGTAGTTTTGTTAAATTATTATTTGAATAATTGAAAATATATGTTTTTTTTTCCATATGATTTTGAAATAAATTTTCGGGTGAGGTGGACACGTATTGTGAACCTGTTAAATCATAGGTCAATAATGATGAATCTAATTTACTTTTTATAATTATTTCAATAGGTTGTTTGTAAATTGAATTGCTAAATTGATATTTGCTTTTGAAAAGTGAAAACTTTAAAAATTTTAAGTTAATAAAATTAATGTTTTAATAAAAAAATTTCAAAACGGTTCGGTTCGATTTTGTGCGATTTTTGAAAATCAAAACCTAAACCTAATCAGTTTGAAATGGTTTGGTTTAAAGGAAAGGAAACCACGGGTCCACGTAGACTCAAACCAACAATTTCAATTCAACGATTTCGGTTCGATTTGTTTTGCGATTTTTTGTGCAGCCCTAGCTCACAGTAGATTTTCCTTCTATGGGCACGACCACATAGATACATAGAACGAGCATTTATCGAGTTACCAAAATTATAATAATATAGTATGAAAATGTAGAGAATATGATCTTTCAACTTTTTTTCTTTTTAATTCTATCTTTCAATGAAATAACACCACATTTTACAGGTGAATATTAACCCCCACAATTGAACCATTAAAATATAAGTTACCATATAAATTATGATTTTGTAACTTGTGTTAAAACTAAAAATTAAATGGTTTTAATATTGAAAGGTTAATATATTTTATGTTACAACAATCCCTAACAAGTCTTAAACTTTCAAAATAGATAAATACATATATAATATAATAATGACAACATAATACTGTGCAATAGGTGTATGTGTCTTTTAGATTTAAACTTCATTGAGTGATAACAATTTCCATTTGAGGGAACCATAATGGGATATGCCTTAAATTAGGTCCTTTTGGCTAAACTTTAATTGTTCTATACACAATATTGATTTAGGCTTTAGTTCATAGCGGGTAATGTTCTTAATGGTCATGCACTCTAATCTTGATTCTACTAAGAATATCTATGAAATAGTCCAATTCCATAGCCATGAGCTTATGACAAATCTTACAAAGGTGAGTCTTTCCAAAGGTGCGTGTGACCCACACCTCACTAGAATTCTCGCCTCAATATCCATTTAGGTTTAAACCCTTCCTAGCATTACATTTTATTATTAGCACTATCACCTATTATTACAAGTCACACGGTATGGGTTGTTTCTACTACATTGAACTTTTCCATGGGATTATTAATCACAAAAGTTGGATTACTCCCGAAGGTGGCTCCTTTATAGGCTAAAGCCCTTTTTACCTCGATGATTTGTGTATGCTCGGACAACAATTTATTTATGCCTCTCTTGGATAATAATATCGTACAATTAATTTATGAATCTTATCTCTTCCTGCATATCTACAATTTTACCCAATAATTTTTTTCAAAATGTCAATATCACATATTTAATTATAATAAGATAACTATGAAATTTCTGATATTGGCTTCTAGTAACACGTTTGAAAAGATGCATCCATTGATCTCTTGCATTTCACATATAATCTTCAATTTTATTTTTAGCACTTTTCAAGAGTTAGTTTGCAACAAGGAAAAAATAAAATATAAGGTGTATCTATATTAAACACCTCAACATTTCAAAGATATCCATCATGTAGAGTTTC